AAAGCAATGGAAACTTCACTGACATTTTTATGAAAAAGGGATTGGTTCCCGTATTAATTCATGACCAAAGTATGATCCCCCCTTCCTCTCCAGTCTCCTAAGAATAACATATCAGTGTAGTAACATCTTGTCACACATGCCAAATAATTTTACAGCAAAAGCATCTTAAATTCACATTCAAAAACTGAATTTGTGGTAGCAACTCATAGCAACACATAAAATAGAAAGAAAACTGCTTGATTGGCCTTTTGAAAGAAATCCAATTCAAAACAAATCCTATTTTAACTTGTTAGCTAAGAGATGGACATGATCACTTGAGGAAGGACAGGGTATGGAACATCTTGTTTATATAATGCCTCTTCACATCATAGTTATGTGTTACATTCCAAGTATCATGTTGTAGGGCAGTCTAAAATTCTATTTTACAGGTAAGCGAAGACAGTTAATTAAAACAGCACCTCTTGGCACAGACAGAAGTCCCACACTTCTAAATTAGCCCCTGCATTTTAGAAAATCTTTCTTAAACAGTTTAATATGAGGTCTGTTTAACGATCAGACTTAACAAGTAAGAGACACTGGAATTTTAAGTAATTTCTTTCAGCTTATCCTGACTTTGAAACTCCTCTTTTCTTCCACAGTTTCACTGGCTATATCAGAGGTTGTGAGAGGAATCTGGAAGGCTGGAGGTCCTCCTCAAGCTCTCTTGGGAAACAGTCCTGAGTATCCATCACTGGAGCTGAGATTTGAGAGCTCTTCCGATATTAGACACAGAAAGCCCATGCATAGTAATTACTGGTCTGACATATGGCAATTCTGTTGAGCTTATTTACAGCACTGTTCTGAGATGCCAAATACTTTGAAAATAGAAGCTAGAGTAACTGTACAGCCAGGGCCATGTATAAAAACGTTTTTAATTTAACTGCCTGGTACTTCAGATAAACAAAGAAGGACTTGGGCTTCTTTTCCAGTAAAGCTCTATTACTGTAAATAACATCTGAGTTCCCTGGCTTCTGGCAGCCATCAGCGTTCTGTCACAGCTAAATGGCTCCAGAAAACAAGCATCCTTGAACCAGAATAACTTGAATAATATGCTTTGGATATTTAATATGCTTTTGGGTATTTAAACAATGCTTAACATAAACTAAAGAAATGAAGAGCACTGAGAAGTGAGGGGCTGAACACTCACTGCCTTGAGCAAGGCATATTCAGGGAATTGAAGTAATGTTATATTAGGAGGAATTTGTCAGTTAATTAAACTGATGTAATAAACATATCATAGAATCATAGAATCATAGAATAGTTAGGGTTGGAAAGGACCTTAAGATCATCATGTTCCAACCCCCCTGCCATGGGCAGGGACACCTCACACTAAACCATCTCACCCAAGGCTTCATCCAACCAGGCATTGAACACTGCCAGGGATGGAGCATTCACAACTTCCCTGGGCAACCCATTCCAGTGCCTCACCACCCTCACAGTAAAGAACTTCTTCCTTATATCCAATCTAAACTTCCTCCGTTTAAGTTTGAACCTGTTACCCCTTGTCCTATCACTACAGTCTCTAATGAAGAGTCCCTCCCCAGCATCCTTATAAGCCCCCTTCAGATACTGGAAGGCTGCTGTGAGGTCTCCACGCAGCCTTCTCTTCTCCAGGATGAACAGTCCCGACTTTCTCAGCCTGTCTTCATACGGGAGGTGCTCCAGTCCCCTGATCATCCTCATGGCCCTCCTCTGGACTTGTTCCAACAGTTCCACGTCCTTCTTATGCTGAGGACACCAGAACTGCACACAATACTCCAAGTGAGGTCTCACAAGAGCAGAGTAAAGGGGCAGGATCAGCTCCTTCAACCTGCTGGTCACACTCCTTTTGATGCAGCTGGCTTTCTGGGCTGCAAGCACACACTGCTGGCTCATGTTCATTTTCTCATCAACCAAGACCTGGCAAGTCCTTTTCCACAGGGCTGCTCTGAATTTCTTCTTTGCCCAACCTGTAGCTATGCTTGGGATTGCTCCGACCCAGGTGTAGGACCTTGCACTTGGCATGGTTAAACTTCATAAGGTTGACATCAGTCCACTTCACAAGCATGTCAAGGTCCCTCTGGATGGTCTTCCTTCCCTCCTTCCCTCCAGCGTATCAACCAAACCACACAGCTTGGTATCATACTTCTGCAGCTGTATTAGTCTAATTTTCATCACTATGGAATCAAAGACATTAGATATGGAATTATACATATGTACATATACAGCATTCATGACTGCTTCTTCTAAATTAATATGTGCATGGTATACATGTATCTTTGAGCTGCAACTCACAGACAGGACTGCAAATACAGGGAACAGCATATGAAATACAGGAATTAATACCCCAAACAAGACGTAATTCCTTTCATTTTACTGGAGTGGTTCTTTTTTGTACAAGGCTGTTCTTGGACAAAATGGAGATTTACTTATAATAGATGGTTACCCTGAAAAGGGACGTATTATAATATTTCTTTGACATAACAAGAGGTGAGTAGATTAACTGCCCTAATTCAGGATTGTTTGACTAGACTACAGGTTAATGTTGCTAGCTAAGAAACTGTGTCTGTTCTGCTCTAGAATGTGCACATACATGTAAATATATAAATATAATTTCTTTTATAAAACTCCTATGGAGTTAATTTGGCTTTCCAGTGCTAACAAATACGTGGTTACTCTTGTTTGCTTTTATTTTTTTTTCAACTTTAGTTAGTTAAAGCAGTGACTCAGATTACACCTCAGAAATAAGTAAGTTCACCAACTGTGTTATTTTTAGTCATCTCTTCAAATCTGCAACACTGGTTAAATATTTGGTCACAAAACACAGCAGACAAAAGTTGTGAATAGTGATAAACCCCAATCTACTTATTTGAGCTAAAATAAAAGACAGGCAGGGACCAAACTTCCCACTACTTCTAAATAAAAACTGCATGCCAACTTTAATACTCTTATAATAAAAAAAAAAAACCCCTATTGTTTGGAGTAGCACTTAGTCCCCAAGGAAAGAATTCCTTTCTATTTAAACAGATTTTTACTTTTGTTTTGAATCTTTGCTAGTCAGGGAAAAGCAAATATAGGCCTTGGTTTCTTGGTTTCGCATCCTTCACATGAGCTTTCACCATTTGTGCCTGATCAGTCCCTGCTGTATCTGCAAGTATTGCAAGCATTTGTAAGGACTTGCAGAAATACTTGCAGAAGGTTCCAGCTCAGATTATGTTCTCAAAGCTTACTGGAATGCCCATAACGCAGTTCCAGCTCTACTAGGCACTGCAGAATACACAGTATAGAATTTGTGAAATTCATTTACAACACCCAGACAGGAACAAATGCTAACTGCTCTTTCAAAATGGGAAGATAAGTATTTTGCGAAAGTCTAAAGAAATTGATATTACTAATATAATAAACAGCTAGGAAGCCAAAATAGATGGAACAGTGTGTTTTTTTCTTCCTTCCACCATTCAGGATGAAACCCAGTCTCTAGCTTGTGTGAATACCTTGAGCTGTTCTCTCTCCCTTCAAATGTGCTGAAATCATCCCTGTGGACATTGTTCTTGGAACAATGTGATCTACAAAGAAGAAGTTCTTCAAGACTGCAGATTTAGTCATACTTGGTTTACACACCATCTTGAAAGAAAAGGATCTATGTCTTGCAGCTTTGCAATAAATTGTTAATTAATGCAGCAACACTGGTGGCAAGTGGCAGAATTTACTCTATGATTTTTTTTTTTATTTTTCCACATTTGTGTCATACAAAGTATGCTCTAACTGCATTGGTGTTGAAGTGATCTCAAAAGGATTACTGATCTATGGGAAGAGAATAAAACTGGAATATACTCTCTCTGCTTCAAAGTGCTATCAGCAAGTTAATACTTTCACAAGTGACTTTGAGGCAAAAGCTGTAGAAACAGCAGTACACATCATCACATTCTGGAAGTTACCAAAAGCTAAAAACTTTAACTAAACTCCCAAGGTAAAAAATTAGTACGAAGAAGTTACTCAAGGGACAGAGCAAACGTATCACTATGCCACAATCTGGAACACTTGTCATGCCCTGGTCCCTTCAAAAAATGAAAAATGTGGGTTTGATCCCCCCCAAAAAAGCATTTCTAGCCAGTCAGTACCAGATTGGTGCATTCTACGGATTTGCTATTGTTGTGGTTTAAGCTCAGCTGTAAATCAGAACGACGTAGCCTCTCTCTCCTTGCCTCCCCCTCCTCCCTACCCTGCTCCCGGAGGGATGGGGAGGAGAATCAAAAGAATATAACTCCCATGGGTTGAGATAAGAACAGTCCAGTAACTAAGGTATAACACAAACCACTACTGCTACCCCCAGTAATAATAATGATAAGGGAAATAACAAGGGAAGAGAATACAACCGCTCACCACTTGCCAAATGATACCCAGCCCTATCCAAGCAGTGATCTAGCCCTTCCAGGTAACTCCCCCAGTTCTACGTCCTGGGCATGATGTGCTGTGGTATGAAATACCTCTTCGGTTACTTTGGGTCGGGCGTCCTGCCTCTGCTTTCTCCTGTCTTCCCCTCCTCCGTGGCAGAGCATGAGACTCACAAAGTCCTTGGTCAGAGTAAACCTTACCTAGCAACAACTAAAAACATCTGTGTTATCAGTTCTGTTCCCAGGCTGAAAGTAAAAACCACTGCACTGCACCAGCTACTAAGAAGGAGAAAAAATGACTGCTACTGCTGAACCCAGGACAGCTGTACAATAACTGAATTATTTAACGTATCCTGTCAATTTGCTTTACAAAAATTGTAAGGCTTGTAATAAGCCTGCTGTTAAAGGCTCTCTCAAAAGTGCCTGTTGTGCACAGCAGCTCTGGCAACATTGCAGGTTCCAATAACTGCAAGCACATCCTTAAAGCCACAGATCAGTCACGTTTGAGTATGCCACTGTAATATAGCAGGGTGTGACGGAGCTTAAATACACACACCAAAAAACACCAAACCAAACCAAACCCCAGACTAAAAAAATCAATGAGACATTTCATTTATTTGTTACCTGGTAGAGTTGGTGCAGCTCTTCTAGATATCCTGCCTGCACTGGCTATGAGTAGTCAACTTGCTTTTCATAGAAAGTCAGCTCTTGATGCTGGTTTGCGGCAAGATCCCAAATTACTTTGATCTACTTGCAGAAAGCATCAGCCAAGAAATTTCCTAATGTCACTGGGCAAGACACATGCTGAGAACTTTTGTTTTAAAACAAACACTGGCAGGAATAAATCAAGAAATTCAAAAGGAAATCAAGAGGTTAGGAAGTTTCCATACATGGACACCAGAATAAACTTGTTTCTTACTCAATTAGATACTACTGCTAACTCCACCCAGAAACATTTTATTGGTGCTAGGAGTGCTTGAAGAGTACAGATGCATAAAAGATGTAATGTATAGCTTCTAGTGTCATTTTACAATACATTGTTCAAAAAGCATTTTTTTTGCAAGTTTGTACCAGTCTCCTGAAATAACAGAGCAAAAGGTAATTTCTAATCTCACAAACTTAGGCCCCAACATGTGAAAAAGGAACATGCTGAGAGGTGATGCTTCTAAGTTAAAAGCAAACCGTGTTATTCCCCCAAATGAGAAGCACAGAAAAGCAGGCAGAGTTTTGAAAAGTTGAATCAAAAAAAAAAAAAAAAAAAAAAAGCCACTCAGCTCCCCATTCTTGAATCTTTCCCAAGATAAATGGAAGTGGAGATAGGGCAGCCCAGAACAGCATTCCAAATAATCTGCTTCAATCAGTCTTTGCAGTTATCAGCCCTTACTGGACCAGAATTTGCAAGCAGGCTGTGCCCTTTAGGCTAGCCCACCTTGGGACAAGGGTCTTGTTGCTATGACCTCTACTACATTTCAGGAAATCATGAAGGAGCAGAGAGGCCTAAAAGGTTGTCCTTATAGATGTTAAATAAAATGGCATCAGCCTTAAATAGAAGGAGGAGTGAGCTGGGAATGATGATACTGGCCTGGAAGGGAGAAATGAGACTCCTGACTAGGACAGAGTTTCAGCAGAGAGTGAGATGTTCCTTGGAACAATCCTTTTCCTAAAATCTCTGCCATTTCCCAATTTCCCAGACACATAAAATATAAAAGCTTAGCTCTTGCATCACATCATACTCTACACTAACAGCCTTTGTGTACTATAGGAGGAGCCTCTGCCTGGGAGAAGCTGAAATCATTCCCTGCTCTAAGAGCCATGGCAGACACGCACGGGACCTTCATTCTATGTTGCAAAGAGGTTCAAGAGCTTTGAAGTGGAGAAGGCCACACATGTATATTGTATTGCACATTGCAGAAGGAGGATGCCTTTAGGACAGCATGCATGTTAAATTTCTGGGTGTATCAAAATAATTTTAAGTAATGCAGGATACAATATCTAGCTAGTTTATACAACTTTCTATTTCACTGGCCTGTAGAAAAGCAAGTGTTCAGTAACCAAAACATACATGCTTGACAGCTTTTTAGAAAACTTCTGTATCACAATATTTAAATATCTCATTATGTGCTTTTTAAAAGCCTGATTGGAAAAATTACATCATTTTGGATTTTCTCAACATTTGGTGTGCCAGATCTTGGTGTTTAAGGGCCCTATAAATAGCTGTTTGGACCACCTCGACACAATTCATGGATGCAGTTTTTCCATAATCCACTTAGCTCTATTATTCAAATAAAGTGCAACTGGATCTTTTCTTGGCAACAGGGGTGATGCAATGCTCAGTAGAGGAGGTTCAAGAAAAACAGCATAAGCCAAAGATGACCTGCAAACACTTGCAGAGCAGCAGTTTGTTTATATTTATTTACGCTGTGTTTCTATCTCCTTCTCACCTAACAGCCACTAACTCCTTTTGCCTCTTTTGACTACCAAACTCTTCCTCTCTCATATCTTAGTACACAAAGAGTGTGGCCCAGCAGTGAAACACCAGTGCCCTGGGTTCAGCAGTAGCAGTCATTTTTCTCCTTCTTAGTAGCTGATGCAGTGCTGTGTTTTTGACTTTCAGCCTGGGAACAGCGCTGGTAACACCGATGGTTTTATTTGTTGCTAAGGCATGTTTACTTTGACCAAGGACTTTCCGAGTCTCATGCTCTGTCAGGGAGGAGGAGAAGCCAGGAGGAAGCAGAGGCAGGACGCCCGACCCAAAGTAACCGAAGAGGTATTCCATACCACAGCACGTCATGCCCAGGATGTGGAACTGGGGGAGTTACCTGGAAGGGCTAGATCACTGCTTGGATAGGGCTGGGCATCAGTTGGCGAGTGGTGAGCGGTTGTATTCTCTTCCCTTGTTATTTCCCTTATCATTATTATTACTGGGGGTAGCAGTAGTGGTTTGTGTTATACCTTAGTTACTGGACTGTTCTTATCTCAACCCATGGGAGTTACATTCTTTTGATTCTCCTCCCCATTGCTCTGGGAGCAGGGGGCGGAGGGGGGGACAGTGAGAGACTGACTGAATGGTTCTGATTTACAGCTGGGCTTAAACCATGACAACCAGTTACCAACTGATCAAAACTTTAATACAGCTAGATCCCTATGCTGCTAGGAACTATAATTTAAAAATAAAATTATAAACTCCTATAGTACTGACAAGATTCTGCCAAAAGCCACTGAATTATGGAGTTTTTAGAAAATCAAAATATTTATGGTCTCAGGTCAGAGATGACTAAATACTACAAGCATAACTTTCTACACACAGAAAAGTTTTTCTCCCCTATTTCTAAAAGGCAACTGCTATAAATATGCTTCCTTAAGCTCCTTAAGAGCATTTCAGCTACATGTGAGTTGAATATAAATATATAAAAAAATAAAATATGCGATTAAGCAATGAGAACTTTGAATCTTTTGAAAATCCCCTCTATAACACTACTTTAATATACGCACAGACATATATACCTATATGTACCTAAGCCGTATTTGAGGGTGAATTTCATTATCTGTATCTTTCTTTTCCTGACGTACAGAATATATCAATTATTAACCTAGTGTGATCCACTTGGTAAACAGTTCTGTGAAAGATCTGAATTTGAGACTAGTGTAGGAGAAAACTCTGGGTTAAAATGCATTTAGATGGATTCTTTTCTTCATAAAAATGAAGTTAGGGCTTCTGGTCATTTCAACACTCAGAAGCTGTTTCTAAGGATCCCAATTCCACCTCATGCCTAAGTTAATTCAGAACCTCAGTCTCCTATCCCACCTCTCCAGGGATTCCCCAGCTATGGAGACCTGCAAGATGTAAGCAAGTCTCAGAAAAGGCTATTTTTAGCTAAATGCGGTGTAGGTTATGGAGTTATTTTATGGGGCTAAAGACATCAATGGAACCAAAAAGATGTAGTGAACGTGTGGGAGGTAGAAAATAGCAGATTCTGTCAAATACCTATTGACAATTACAATGGGATATAATGTTGAGGTGTTTGCACAACAGGGGAGACATTTTTGGAACTCAATTTTTCATTAACTCAAGCCTGAATGCACAGGTAGAAGGGAAGGGCCTTCCCAAGAGAAAAGAGCAACTGTGTTAAAGTTCAGCAGAGGTCAACTGGGGAACTGCCCGTGGTCACAGGGGTTTGAGGCAGCTGATGGCTCTTATCCAAGATGTCTTCTGCAGTGGGGAGATACCTCAAGGAAAATATGTCTGCCTTTCCACAGAATCACACCTCAGAAAACACTCTTTAGCACACCCCAATTCTTAGCTTTCACCACAGAAGGACTGTCTGCCATCAGCACAAGCTATTGCAACCAAGAAGTGTTTAACCCTAGCACTTCCAGACATTAGCATTTTAATGAAAAAAATCCTAAAAGCAAGAATCTGCTTTAGCATCACCATTTCCATTCCTTTTCCCATCTGTTTTCACTGCAGTGGTGAGACATTTCACTTACTTTTTTTCTGAATTTTGCATTCTGAACAACTATCTCCATAGTTACACTCCTCTTTCTTGCAACAAAGTGCCAGCTGTTCATGGCTCTGCTTTCAAATTTCAAATGCCAAAAGACAGTAAAAATGCCTTGCCTCAATCACCATGATAGATTTGTTTCCAGTTTTTAGCTAACAGCTAAAACATACAACATTTTCCTCTTTGCAAAGGTAACTGAGAAAGCCCAGAGAATAATCTAAAAATCCAACTTGCAACATAAAAGAAAACTTTGTGTAGAGATACATCCAGTCTCTAACAATGAAAGTGGAGGATTCTGCCTAAATTTATGTCAAAATGAAGAAAATCTCAAAGGGTATATGTTTGAAATAGGACATACATATAAATATGCAAAATTAGAATCTATTAGTACAATCTTTCAGCATAAAATGTAGCACTCATAATTATTGCATGTTTAACTCTTAACATTTGCATTGTACAGAAATTAACACAACTATGACAATGTTATGTTCCTATTCTTCTTTAGAAGACATTAAAAGACATTAACCAAGAATAATTTACAAAATACAAATCCAGATACCTCATACAGACAGTGTATATCCAGAACATAAGCATATCCAAGGTATCAAACTTTTCTCCATCTGGACTCAATATGTCCACCTGCCTAGACACTCCTCATTATAATGACAAAAAGAACTGCACATTTGCTCTGCTAAATAACATTAGCCAGTTTGACTGGATGAATCTATCCATATGGACAATATTATTGGCTAGAAATGCACAGCTGGGGTTAGAAGGAAATCCACAAGTGCTTTCTGTTTTTTAACTCCCATTTCTAGAAATGAGAAATTACTTTGTGACTGTCATGTCTTCTGATTTCTGCTGTTAGGCTCTGAAGTCATAATCATACGTAAATGTTTGCTTTATAAACTATGAAGAAGTGTAGGTTGTCCCTGGACTGATGGAGTTATAAATAAAGCCTGCAAGTCCTATAAAAACATAAATTCACTTGAGACATGCGAGCTCAATAGCTGATTCTTTCTGGGACCTGTGACAATTTCAGCATCTGTTTGAAGTACTAGTAGCACCAAATCTAGAGCTCTCCGCCATGCCTCTGTCTTGGCTGTAACGTTATCATAAACCTTTAAATCTTCCCTGTGGTCAGCGAAGGGACCAGCACCATCCCTGAGCAGATCACCTCTTCTAAACTCTTTCAGTATGTATGCTGAAGGAGAGCCACAGTCAGTTGCTTTTCTGAGGTAATGATCAAGTGAGGTGCACGCTTCCAACTTCGATGCAGCTTTTGTGGTGTTACACATAACCACCAAAAGATACTGTTTCCAGCCACTTGCTAACGCTTGGAGCACAACTGATTTATATTCGGTTGCAGATGCTGCCTGCCAAGGATTGTGAAACTCTTCTGCAGCATTTTGATTTGGTGGCTGTAAAGGCTGTTCGACAAGCATCTGAATGTGACTGAGGCACAAGAGTTCCACAGCACCACCACCAATAAAAACCTTCTTGTCATTTAAAGCATGATGGAGTCGATACACTGAAGTCCAGAACTGGTCTTCAATGAGCTGCATCTTTGAAGCTACAGTAGTAGTAAGCACGGCTGTGAGCAGAGGAATTCCTTGTGCTTTTATTCTGACCGGTACGAGTTCACCCAGATCCATTGTACGCCCATCACAGGCCTTCCACAACTCCACTTGGACCCCACTCCCCACACAAGTAGCGTTCATCTGGGTGAGGTATGTCACTGGCTGAGCGCCAGTGACTTCCCCGAAGGCACACAACACATTCCAAGTCACAGAACTAACTAACAATATACTCTTTGCAATGCACCTTTCCATTAAGTTTTCACACACATTTCCTTTGACCAAAACCAGGTTTACTTCAAATTTGATCAGATTATCTACCATACTGCTTAGCCACAGGTCTCCTTCCTGTAGGTTAGGATGCTCCGCTATGGTCCTCACATTACACGGTCTGTTAAAACCTAAGTGTCGATATTGCTCAGTTAGGTCACCGTCTATTAGCAGAATCCGAAGGAGTTTGTCTTCAAAGTGTTTGATAACTGTGACTTGTTCTGGTGATACCAGTGTGACAAAGCCTGGGGAGGCACAAGAACAGCTTTCAGGCAGGCCCACTAAGCAGCATGTCACAATTTCTGCAACATTTAACTGGGAAGAGCCCCTGTGTTCTGCTGTCTCTTGCTGATATGTAACAATGTTTTGTAGCAGTTTCATGCTAGTTTTATTTCCGTGGCTCAGAGCCATTGCCAGGTGTCCTAAACCACCACATTCACATGAATCTGCTGATGGTCCCAGAAGGTATCCCTGAGAATTACCTTGCTGACTTGAAAAAAGGCTTTTTCGTAGAGTGCTGAAGTACCTGCTGTGGGTCAGCTTTTGTTTGTTACAGCTGGATGTGGTAACACCACTTCCAGAAATCACAGATGTACTTTTGTCACCCGCTGGTTTGACAAGAGAAGCTACTGAATCAAAGCCAGGCAAAGGTGAAACCAGGTGCTTGTTAAAATTACAATCATCATCTTGATGGGAACACGAATTCATTGGAATTATTTCTGGTACAGAAATATCTTTCTGAAAATACAGGAAAAGCTGGGAATTTGGAGGACTGTCACATCCAGTTTGGCAAGTTTTGCTTTTAGAAGCATTTGGCCTAACACTGCTAGAACAGAGCTGTTTCTTTACATCATGTATTGATATTTGAAGGCACTGGACTCTCTCACAGCAAGAGCTCAACCCCTCGGACATCACAGATACTATTGCTGAAACCGGAACATTTTGCTGGAGGCATTCCACTACAGCATTGCTCCATGCACCAACAAGAAACAATAGGGTACTCATTCCAGTCTTAAACTCCTTGGTTTGTGCCTGAACAGTTTCATTAAGAAGCTGTCCAGCAGCACTAGTTAAATCCAAACTTTCAATCAGTCTAACAGCAGAACAGATCAATGTGCTTTCGTTGGTGATTTCATCCACAATGAATTTACATGATTTCACTGGCCCCAGTAATGTTCTTCCAGCTAAGGCTAAGGAAGAGAGTTGCTGAAGTCCAATGTGTCGCCTTGCATTCACATCCCTGAAAGCCATGGGCAGCAGGCAGGATCTGTGAACAGAACACAAACTTATTGCCCCATCCTCACAGCACTCCACAGCATACAAATTAAAAATTTATGTTTGTTAATTTAATTTTTTGCTGCTTAGAACTCCCCTTTATGTGGACTGTTCAGCAAGTTGTAGCTCAATATGCTTGAGGCTTTCTGGGACAATAGCTCTTTCAGCAGCATAAATCACTGCTGTCTTATCCCTGTAAATTATGCTGGAGGGTTATAAGAACATGGAAACAGGCTGCTGAAGGTCCTTCACTGCTCTTTAAAGGGTCTTTCATTTCATATGGCATGCCCAGCTATGGCATAAAGGGAGGCTTGTCTAACGTGAATTCTTGTCTGGTGCTGCTTCCCGTCGCGCTGAGGATCACTGTAAAGATTGTTGCAGCCAGGCCTCTTCATATGACAAGTAGGTCTAAACAAGAATCAAATAGGAGGAAGGGGAAGGAGAATATGGCAAGATCTGTAGCCTCCTCAGTAGTTATTTGGGGTATGAACATATGATAGGATTGGGTGCCTGCAGGGACATTTTAGTCAAGAGCCTCTTGGTTTATACATGGCCAACTTGGCTTTACTACGTTTAAAGTTATATCGCTCATGCAATACCTCGTCTTTGTCACATACATCATATCTACCATGCTTGCTCCAGTCCCTCTGACAGAAATTTTGACTTTCCAGATGAAATAAAGAGAGCAATATTTCTTCTTGACCAGGCAGTGTCTTTATCAGATACTTCTGTGCATCAGTGGTCCCTGGTTTTCACTAGTCACTCATATGTGTTGTCATGAATGACTTTTTTTCTCAGTTGGGAGACTGGGGGGAAGTTTTCTCTAATTTTCCTAATTTTCCCACACATGTTTAATGTCAGGAAAGGCATATGGGAAGGCTTATGTACAAATTCACTGAGTTTTTCTTAGCAAAAAATTAAATTAACAGTCTAACACTGAATACAGCACTCCTGTGATGCTCTCTTAAACAGTTCTTTATCCTGTACGCTTCTTAGGAGATGTCGATGCCCATAGCTGCTGAAATGGTGCATTGCTAAAATACCAGGGTATATTTCATTGCTGGCAAATAGTGAACTGCTGCTAATTCTGGTGGTTTCTTAAACATGATACAGAGCAGATTGTGTAGAACACTTCTCTCCTGACCTGCTATCTGGAATTTCAGTTATTTGGCTTATTTAGGGCAAAAATTAATTACAGCAGAATGGACAATTATGTGCAAAACAAAAGTGCTCTGTACAGATCCACCTGGGCAAAAACAGTTATGCCTCTTACTTTAACCTTCAAATCTGTAAAAGCATAATCAAAATTATTTTGTTCCAACTCTACTTATTCCATTTAGCACGCATCAACACTTCATTAAGTGTGCATGAAAAGAAATGCCACTTCCTCATACTTCACAAAGCAAACTACCGAAACTTTAAGATTTGGTCTACTACTCAGTTTTAGCATGCCAAGAATAAAACTTCTTTCACTTGAAATCTCTTCCACACCACAGTCCTGTGGCAGACCATACAGATTAAAATAAAGTTTCCTTTTATTTTTCTTTTTTTGAATGCAAAAACATACACACCAAGAATTAAGAAGCTTAGCCATATACCTTCTATGCTCAGATTCAAATCCTTTATTTCATTTCTTTATTCCAAATGCAAAATTCTGTCAAGCTTAGTGAAGTATTAGTAGAATACTATCTCAAATGAAGTGTGAATTTAAAAAGCAGAGCAGGCAGTCAGAAATAGACTTTTTATGCTGACAGTACTGAAGTTCTAGTCTAGCCCAAACTGACAACAGAATTCCCCTTCAATTACCAGGTACATCTTAAAGCACCAAAGGAATCATTAACTAAGAAGTTAATCTATAGTTGCTGTAATCAACAATTTAAGGAATTTTAGATAAGTAGGTACTTTTAACTTTAGAGCTGCACTGGGAATGCACCTCTGAAAACCTCCAACCAACCTGCTTAAGGGTTTTACCTGAAATTGTTCTTGGCAGCGTCTTGTAACAATAATATAATTTTGCTATGTATCCATAGCACTACTTCTAGTAATAACAACAATAATAATAAAGGGCTCTTAATTGGAATCCTTACCTTCATATCATGAGTAGCTTGTTTTGCAAAAACAAGCAAACAAAAAAATAGTTGAACTGATTAAATAATATTAATTGGATCATGCAATCCAATATGAAATGTGTTTCCACAACTCTCCCAAAACCTCATCACTCTGTTTGATTTCTCTTAAGGATTTACTAAGACAGTAATTTTTTGTTTGTTTCTTGTTTGTTTTGTGCTTTGTTGTGTTTTTTTGTTGTGTTTTCTTTTTATCTCCAAGATCACTGTTTCTAAATTCAAGCACTTCTTGGTCACTTCACAACCTGCTTTTTTGATCCAAATAACAAATAAGCAATTTGTGGTTCCCTTCATAAAAATCAGAAAAGAGCTGAAGTAACAACACTGCAAGGCCACTTATTGCTCTCTCAGTACCTAGGTCCTTGGTACATAGCTCTGGGCAGAAGACCATGCTGCTGTTCAGATGGGAAACAATTATGGAAGGACTGCTGGGTAAGAGGTTTCCATTTTCCAGTGCTGCAAACTTCTTACTCCCCAGCCAGTCCCAAACAAAGGTTCAGCTCAGCAGTATAAGCCATTGTCTTATTAGAATGGCATTTTTATTTAATGACCCTGAAACCAAGACCAGTTATGGGCCAGACTAATTAGAGTTAGTGTAGCACCTTCTGTCAAGTCAATGCACTTCTTCCAAACTTCAACACAGCCAACTATAAGTTGCTTTGTTAAAATTCTCTCTGAAATTTAAGTTTAAAAATGTGCCTCTTACATCCAGCTTAAACTCAAGACTTTAAGTAGCTTCATTTTGGGCGCTAGCTTGTACTCCTGCAGATGAACAAACATGAACCAAGTGAATCCAGGGCATGCACTTACAGGAAAAAATGTTTTTATTTCATTGCAATTAAACCACCAAGTGCTCAAGTAAGGGTCACGACTTACCTAGTCTATCACTGAGCCAGATCTCTTACTACTTATGTAGAAGACAAAGAGCTTCCTAACTTGGTGCAGCCGAACCCGAACGCCCGTAACGGGCCAACTCCGCATCACTCGCTTCCTAGAAGCGGAAAGCAGCCAGCACTCAGGCGTGGAGTCAGGGCCGCTCAGAAGGCTCCCCGGAGCGGCGCTGCTCGGGCCCGGAGAGGGGCCACCCGCTTCCTCCCGGCTAGAGGCCCAAGTCCAGGCTCGGAACCGGCCCCTCGCCCGCCGCACAGCAATCCGGTGCTAGTTTCTAACCGATTAGGCTGCGTTTTCCCCCTGCTCCCCGAGGCCGGGCTGAGACGAGCTGAGCTGGCTCCGCGCACGCACCATCCACCGCCGCACACACCGTGCGACGGCCTGTTACCAAGACGACGTCGACGCCCCCGCCGCCACCACCACTTGTTTCCATACGCAACGGGAGCAGTAACCTCCGCACTCTCACTGAGATCACGAGACCGCTGATTACCATTGGGCCAGGTTAGGGAAGGGGGCGGGCTCTCTCGTACGCCCGGCTCGTTCATTGGATGGCTCGAGTTGGTTGCGTGTTCCGGTGCGTCCACTCGTCTCCGTGAGCGGCGCTGTGCTGTGAAAGAGTGGTGGGGCCGACCTGACCTGGAGCGGCGTTTCTGCTGCCGCAGCCAAATGGTGAGCGCCTTTCCCCGCGGTCTCCCCTTCCCCGCGGAACGGCTGGTGCAAGTTCCCGGCTAAGCCCATCGGTGCCGTCCCCGCTGTGCCCTCCACAGCTGAGACTTGGCTCGGCTCGGCTGGGCTCGGCTCGGCCCGGCCCGGGCCTCAGAGTTCTCCGGCGATTCCCAGCCGCCGATGCGCGGGCAGCCCGCCTGGGGCTCGAAGGGTTGTTGGGAGTTGGCGTGGGGACCGCGCGGCTTGACAAGGATTCCTGTGTTGCTTGATTTCCTGGCACAACGCGGAAGTCAACAGAAAAGAGCCCGATTTCCCCGCCCTCCATCCTGGTACTACGAAAAACATCCCTGATAAAACACGAAGAATCGCAGAATATGTCACCTGCTCTCAGAGTGTGGCGTAAGGCGGAGGCAGGATGCCTGGTTAATCTCAGCACCAGTTACTGACCCCCTCCACTTCATTCGGTCACCTGTAGCAGTGGTGTATTTAAATGGTATTGGCTAGGTGAGAAGATGAGATGTAAAATGGGATTGCACACCCCGGTTTTGAAATAAAAGGAACGGGAAGCAGTGCATGTGCTACCTCTCAGGATCTTCAACGTTTTAACTAGAATCTAGGTGTATACATAGAATGCAAGAAAAAAAGGTTCAGGTTGAGTGTTAGCAATTTTTTTTTTCTATATAGTCAGAAAAATGTCTCATGGGTTTTTCCTAGAGTAAAATATAAAGAATAAAAATCTGTTGCCTGTGTTTAATAACAGGGGAATATCAGAGGTGTGCCAGACAAATGGGTTTGCAATCCAACCTGGGAGGGACAAATTATGTTAAAAAATGAGGTTTCATTTCCAAACACAGCAAAATGGAATCTTCTATGTTACTCTTTGGGAATTTAAGAGAGATCCCAGCTCAAAAATGGTAACAATTCAGCAGAGGTAAGAGCTAACTTACAGCTACTCAGCAGTAGCTAGAAAACAAATTCCTTTCTTGGAGTTTGTTGTATTTACTGTCATAAAGCCTGTAACCAGTTAAAGTTGGGGATGGGAGGGAGTGTCCTTCTTTCCATCAATCTTCAGACTCAAGACTGAAGGGTTACAGTCTGTCTACTGCTGATTTATAAGAAAACCCATACTCAAGGAAAATGTCTTTACCACTCCCTAGGCAAGCAGGTGAGGGAACCATTTTGTACTACACTAACTACACCAGAAGTAGGAAAGATCTCAGAAGTGTTCTGAATAATAACACACCAGCTCAGCATAAGCAGATTAGCTCTCCTGGGACAGATTTTGTGTTAATCCTACCACTGCATGTTGTTACCTAGCACCACAGGTAGTTGGTGGATGGCCCTCTAGAGCTACCAGCTCCCTTTAAACTTTGCTCCAACAGAGCAGATGCTCTCAGACATCCCACTTCTGTGCTTTTAGGAGTGGCTGACTTTGAGTCCCATTTATAATCAAGACCTTATATAACTAGCCTTTTTATCTGTAAGGACGATTTACTCGTTTCTTAGATGAAACCACTCCTGATACATCCAAGCAACCGGAAGGATGTGCAGAGGGTCTTAGTTACCTTAGTGCAGTGTTCATTTTCAGACTGCCTGCGTGATTTTTTGTCATTACTCCTTTAATTGATGATCTTTATGTTTAAATAGAAACATGAAGCCCAAATGTGTGTTCTCCAGGAATAAAGTCTAAAGCTTTTCTTACTAGAATAACTGAAGAAAATGAGCATAGAGACCCAGTGTCTACCACTTGCAGCAAAAAAGTCTCTCATGTCTACTGCAGCTTTACTGTTATTCGTATTTAGTTGTGTTCTGAATTTTCCCCAGAGTGGACTATTTCTTAACTTTTTTTTTCTCCTTCACTTTCTGAAGGCATCCAACTATAGAAAACCTGGCTTAAGTACAGCCCAGCGGAAGAAAAGTGGCTTGAAACCTGAACTTACAGAAGAGCAAAAGCAGGAGATCAGAGAAGCTTTTGATTTGTTTGATACCGATGGATCTGGAAGCATCGACATAAAAGAACTGAAGGTTTTCAAACTTTTTTTTCCTTGGATAGAAATATCTTTGATCTCAGAATTGTAGCTGTTTTTCCTGTTTGTCCAGGCCTAGCTATTTTAAATTAGTTTTGAAGTACAAAAAAGGATAATGGCTTGCTGTCACAACTGAATTTAGGGTCTACAATATGGTTAGCCTGAAAAGTCTCTGTATGTAATACTCCAGAGCAGACAGGCTCCTCCAATACTGATAGCTTTGAGTACCTGAGCATCAGTGTAACAGAGCAGTTGCTCTGTTTAGGTATACACAGTACATATTCCAGTTCACATTTCATGACTAGATAAAGTCATTGTTTCTAGGAAGTGGACTTTTATTTCTGGGTAATTGTGAAAATATCACATTTTTTCTTCATCTCAGATTTTGCACACATTCAGGAAAAATAAACACATAATCTCCTACACATAATCCAAAAATTACCTGGTTTTTAATAATAATTAAAAAAAAAAAAGAACAAAACAGAGACCTGAGTTCCATTTCAGTAGCAATTCAGGTAGTGTGTGCGCGCATTCACCTACAAACACACAGTAATACAAGGGGAAGATTATTATCATAGAATCATAGAATAGTTAGGGTTGGAAAGGACCTTAAGATCATCATGTTCCAACCCCCCTAACACTAAACCATCTCACCCAAGGCTTCATCCAACCTGGCCTTGAACACTCCCAGGAATGGAGCATTCACAACTTCCCTGGGCAACCTATTCCAGTGCCTCACCACCCTAACAGGAAAGAATTTCTTCCTTATATCCAATCTAAACCTCCTCTGTTTAAGTTTGAAACCATTACCCCTTGTCCTATCACTACAGTCTCTAATGAAGAGTCACTCCCCAGCATCCCTATATGCCCCCTTCAGACACTGGAAGGCTGTTATGAGGTCTCCATGCAGCCTTCTCTTCTCCAGGATGAACAGCCCCAACTTTCTCAGCCTGTCTTCATACGGGAGGTGCCCCAGTCCCCTGATCATCCTCGTGGCCCTCCTCTGGACTTGTTCCAACAGTTCTATGTCCTTTTTATGCTGAGGACACCAGAATGCACAGAGTACTCCAGATGAGGTCTCACGAGAGCAGAGTAGAGGGGCAGGATCAGCTCCTTCAACCTGCTGGTCACGCGCCTTTTGATGCAGCCCAGGTTGCGGTTGGCTTTCTGAGCTGCAGGCACACACTGCCAGCTCATGTTCGTTTTCTCATCGACCAGCACCCCCAAATCCTTCTCCACAGGGCTGCTCTGAATCTCTTCTTTGCCCAACCTGTAGCTGTGTCTGGGATTGCTCTGACCCAGGTGTAGGACCTTGCACTTGTCACGGTTAAACTTCGTAAGGTTGGCATCAGCCCACCTCACAAGCGTGTCAAGGTCCCTCTGGATGGCATTCCTTCCCTCCAGCGTATCAACCGAACCACACAGCTTGGTGTCATCGGCAAACTTGCTGAGGGCGCACTCAATCCCACTGTCCATGTCACCGACAAAGATGTTGAACAAGACCGGTCCCAACACCAATGCCTGAGGGACATCCCTCGTTACTGGTCTCCAGCTGGACATTGAGCCATTGACCACAACTCTTTGCATGCAGCCATCCAGCCAGTTCTTTATCCACCAAGTGGTCCATCTATCAAATTGATGTCTTTCCAATTCAGAGACAAGGATGTCATGCAGGACAGTGTCAAACGCTTTGCACAAGTCCAGGTAGATGCTGGCTGTCACCAAGCACCTTGTTGTTTTTCATGTGCCTTAGCATGCCTTCCAGGAGAATCTGCTCCAAGATTTTGCCAGGCACAGAGGTGAGACTGACTGGTCTGTAGTTCCCTGGATCATCCATATTCCCCTTCTTGAAAATGGGGGTTATATTTCCCTTTTTCCAGTCATTGGGACCTTCACCTGACTGCCGTGATTTTTCAAATGTGATGGCCAGTGGCTTAGCAACTTCATTTGCCAGCTCCTTCAGGACCTGCAGATGGATTTCATCAGGTCCCATGGACTTGTGTGCGTTCATGTTTTTAAGATGGTCTCGAACCAGATCCTCTCCTACAGTGGGCCTAAGGTCATCATTCTCACAGTCCCTGCGTCTGCCTTCCAAGACTTGGGTGGTATGGTCAGAGCATTTGCCAGTGAAGACCGAGGCAAAGAAGTCATTCAGAACCTCAGCCTTCTCCAAATCCTGTGTAGCTAGTTCTCAGATAGCTTCTGGAGGGGGGCTACATTGTCCCTAGTCTGTTTTTTATTTGCTACGTACCTATAGAATCCCTTCCTGTTATCCTTAATATCTCTAGCGAAGTTTAATTCTAACTGGGCCTTAGCTTTTCTAACCTGGTCCCTAGCTTCCCAGACAACATCCCTGTACTCTTCCCAGGCCTTTCCTTGCTTCCACCTTTTATAAGCCTCTTTTTTCATTTGAATTTCCTCAGCAGCTCCTTATCCATCCAAGGAGGTCTCCTGGCCCTCCTGCTGCACTTCCTTCTAGTTGAGATGCAACACTCCTGAGCTTGTTGCAGGTGATCCTTGAATATCAACCAAGAGTCTTGGGCTCCCCTGCCCTCTAGGGCTATATCCCATGGAACCTTACTAAGCAGGTTCCTGAAGAGGCCAAAGTCTGCTCTCTTGGAGTCTAGGGCAGTGAGCTTGATACATGCTCTTCTCACTGTCCTGAGGATCTCGAA